ATGCATAAAATGTTTCCTTACAAATATATTAATGCACGTTACACGAACTTAACTTAATATCATCATGCAAAATTGATTACTTGGAACACTAAAACAAATAAATAAAAACCCTAATCAACCAAAAAGGATACTTTTTTAAGTACAAACCAAGCTAAAAACCGTATAAAAATCAACTCCTCCCGTTTGGTAACAGGAAATATAGAACAATCAAGAAAAAAATTCCAATCTTTCAAAAACTCGAGTTCTTTATATATATGTGTGTACCCAGATATTCATCAAAACCACAATCAGATAAAAGAACCCAAAAAAAATATGTATAAGCATATATATATATAGAGAGAGAGAGAGAGAAAGAGAGAGAGTGGAGGCAAAACCTTGAGAAAGAAGGCGGTTAACAGCTTCATTAGGGTCCATATTACAATCTTTGAGCATGGCATAGATCTCAAGCTCGGGACAGTTTACAATCTCCTTCAAGCTCTGAACCATCTTCCTCGATATAGCGACCCCGGTCTTTTCCCATTTGATTATTGTATCCGGACTTAGGTTCCGTAGATTCTGTCATTGTATAATTGTTGTTGTTGTCCTTTATTTTCTCATTTGGAATTATAGGATGTGTTGGGCAGGTTTGTTTCAGGTTGGTTGGGTTTAGAAACCAAGTATTGTTGTCCAGGTTTTTGGTTTTTCGCTCGAGCGAGGAGTTGGTCGCTCAAGCGAGATGTCGTTTTGGTTCTTCGCTCGAGCTGGGGTTTGGTCGCTCGAGCGAGAGATGGCGTCCAGTATGGACCTGTAGCTTTGCATTCTTGGCTCGAGCGAGCTTTTCTTCGCTCGAGCGAGTTAGTTTATCCTTCGCTCGAGCTATAGTTCCTTTGCTCGAGCGTGTGTCTGGTTTCAGACCTGAGGGTTTGAGTTCTTCGCTCGATCGAGTTTTCTTTCGCTCGAGCGAGCTTTTGGGTTGCTGGCTCGAGCAAGGCTTCCTTGGCTCGAGCGTAGCTTCTTGTGTCTGGTCGCTCGAGCGACCAAGTCTTCGCTCGAGCGAGCCTGTCCAGTTTATATACACAGCAGCGGGTTTTGATCAGTCTTTTTCATCTTCTGTTTGTGTACTTTAAAAGACCAATATAAACTATGGTGGAATCCAGCCAAATAAGAGTCCACATAGCAGTCTTCACCTTTCAGTAACAGAAACAGGAAGAGGTGAAATCAGAGTCCACATAGCAGTCCAAGCAAACTAAGGAACTACCACATAATTAAACATTGATTTGTTTTATATGTCCAAGCAAACTAAGGAACTACCACATAGCATTAAAAAGCTGAACATTTTCAACAGAATAAAGGTTTAAGGGATCTTCAACTTTTTCAGCCACCTAGGAAAAAAATGCACTGGTACAGGGAACAATATAATGAGAAAATCAATCAGAAAGGTGTTTGTAAAGAACAAAAGTCAACATAACATAGAATACCACCGCATTATGCATGACAATTTATACAAGTCCATAACTTCCTTTCAAAGTCCATAACTTCCTTACATAACCATAGTTGACAAATGAAACGGATTAAAAATAAAAAAAAAAAGTAGGCGCCGATTTTTAGTGTTTTAGCTACATACGCTCACATACAACAACTTGGATGCTGACCAAAACGAAATTGCATCAGTACAAAGTCCATCATCCCTAAGCAAGCTTACGAACCCAATGCAGCTGCATGTTGGGTAGTATCAACATGAACATTTTCCTCGTTGCTTTATCGCGGAAACTCTCACACGCCTTCACGTATTGGTCGGGAGTGATTTCATCCATTGTTGCCAAACATTGGATACATGCTGCAATGGAGTTTTGTTTTTTCTCAGCCTTTCCACAAATTATTTTTGTAGGATACTTATGTTTGAACTAGCTAGTAATTCACTGTTGTAAGTTTGGCCAGGTTCTGAGCCATGTTGATAAAATTGGAAAGTAAAATGTGTGTTAGACAATAGTGTCATGAGACTGTAAAATGGAGTAATTGATTATCTTGGTTAACCATCTGTTGAATGCTATTGCTTTATTCATTGCTTATATGTGGTTTAGTATTTTTCTACTGGGCTGTGGCTCACCCTATATGGGAACATCATTTTCAGGTTCAGGTGATAAGCTGCCTCCAAGGACTTAGCTTGGAAGGGATTTGGATTTCGAAGACTATCTTTAGTTCATTGTCTTTATTTATTAGTACATGTAAACATCCAAGCCTAGGGCTTTTCTTGTATTGAGTTAGAACTCATCTTTTTGTATCCAAGTGTTGGCTTGGAAAGATGTAAGCCTGTAGGGCATTTTATTCGATGTTACATGTAATGCTTTTATTTAGTAATACTCTGATGAATGAATTAATGAATTGTTTTCTTTAAATAGTGCATGTCAATGACATATATATATTGGGTTTATTTTGAGGGCGTTACAGTTTATGTCAGAATCTTGTCAAAAAGAGGTACTCCGAGAGTTTCATCACTCACGCCTTGAGGTACATCTGGGAGGCACAAAAATATATCATGATCTTAGTTGCTAGTTTTGGTGGAGGGGAATGAAGCGTGATGTCGCTTTATTTGTTTTGAAACGCCTTGCTTGTGAACAAGTGAAGGCCAAGCACCAAAAGCTAGCTAGTTTGCTACAACCTTTACCGATAGCCGAGTGGAAATGGGAACATGTTACCATGGATTTTGTAGCTGGGCTTCCTAGAACACAACAGGGCAATGATGCCGTTCGGGTGATTGTTGATAGGTTGAGTAAGTCTACACACTTCATTCCGATGGGCACCGATAGCTCAGTTAAGCATTTGGCAGAATTGTATATTAGAGAGATAGTTCGACTTCATGGGGTTCCTGTGACCATTGTTTCAGATAAAGATCTTTGTTTTACTGTCTGGTTGTGGCAAAGCCTTCAAGAGGCGTTGGGAACTAAGTTGGCCTTTAACACCACTTATCATCCTCAAATCGATGGCCAGTCGGAGCATACCATTTAGATTTTGGAGGACATGCTTAGAGGTTGCGCCCTTGATTTCAAAGAGTCTTGGGAGAAACACCTACCATTGATTGAGTTTGCTTATAACAATAGTTATCAGGCTAGTTTTGAGATGGCACCGTTTGAGGCCTTGTATGGCCGACCTTGTAGATCACTGGTTTGTTAGGCCAAGGTTCAACAAAAGTAATCTATGGTGACGAAAAGTAGTGAAGAAAATAAATTTTGTCACTAAATAAGAACAATCCGTGACGAATTATTAAATTTTGTCACGTATAATAAAAAATAAAAATAATAGGTGACGAAATTTGTTTTCGTCAACAAATACTTCTTTTTAGGTGAGGAAAAATTAAGTTTTGTCACCGAAGGTTTTCCCGTTAAATTTTTTTTTTGTTGGCGCCAAAATTTGAGACTTTTGGTGAGAAATTTTTTTTGTCACCAATTATAAAATTATTAGTGAGGAATATATTTTCGTCACCAATAATTTTGTATATATATTTTTTGAGAAACTTGATTTTAAATATTTTAAAGACCATTTGGTGAGAAATATATTTTTGTCACTAATAATTTTTAATATTTTGAGACTTTTTAGTGAAGAAATTATTTTGTCACCAATTTTGGAGGAAAAATTTTGACATATTGGGCGGTAATGGAAAAAATAGACAACTAACTTTTTTCCCCTTTTTATTTTTGTTTATCAATTTCTCTCTCTCTCTCTCTCTCCTTTCTCTTTCAAACAAACACAATTAATTAAGCTCTCTAAACCTATGGTGACGAAAAGTAATGAAAGAAAATATTTTTCACTAAATAAGAATAAATTCGTCGATCGAATTATAAAATTTTGTCACATATTAATAATAAGTAAAATAATAGGTGACGAAATTTTATTTTCGTCAGATAAATACTATTTTTTAGGTGAGGAAAAATTAAATTTCATCACTAAAGATTTTCCTCTAATTTTTTTTGGGTCCCAAAATTTTGAGACTTTTAGTGAGAAAAATTTGTCACCCTAATATACAAATTATTAGTGAGGAATATATTTTTGTCACCAATAATTTTAAATATTTAAAAAAAAAAATTATATTTAAATATTTTAAAACTATTTAATGAGAAATATATTTTTATCGTCAATAATTTTAATATTTTAAAATTTTTAATGACAAAATTATTTTATCACCAACCAATCTTAAAGGAAAACTTTGAGATTTGGCGGTAATGAAAAAAATGAACCCTACTAATTCTCCCCCACCATTTTTTTCCTTTTTTTTGGTGCTCCAATTTTCCTCTCACCAAAGTCTATGAAGTCACACAAAGGTATGGTCTCTCTCTCTCTCTCTCTCTCTCTCTCTCTCTCTCTCTCTCTCTCTCTCTCTCTTTCTCCACTAGAACAAAACTAAGTTTTTACGGCTCCACATTAATGACATACAATAAATGCAAGGCGTGATTTCTCATTTTTACGATTTATTTTTTTTGTATATCGTAAATAATTTTCCAACTACGGCGTGTCTATTGCGTAGGCCGTAAATGCTAATACTGAAAATTTTTTTACGGCTTGCAATGTTAGTCGTAAATAATAAAACTTTCTAGGACGTGCATATGACATGTCGTTAATATATCAATTATACACGACACGCGTACACCAGCCGTTAAAAATATTAAATATTTCACGGCGCATAAAAAATCAATCATTAAAAATATTATACTTTTTACGACGCACAAAAAGTCAACCATTAAAAAATAAACTTTCCATGACACACATAAACTTTTTCACGACATACAACTTCTATCATAAATAATATAACCAAAATAATAGTAAAATACTCACGCCAAATACTAAAATGAAATACTCTTGAAATTGGGCATAGTTCTCCCCTCCCCTCTCTCTCTGCAAATGCTAAAAACTCAACTAGTGATCTGCAGAAGCTCCTCTACCACACCCTTCCATTTCAAACCCTAAATCATATTCTCACCAATTTCTCTCTCTCTCTCTCTCCCCTCCAATTTCTCTCTCTACAACCCACAACCCACAACGGCCATGGCTCTTCTCTCACCAAATTCATCGATCTAGAGCTGCCATGGAGACTAGCAAAAGGCGAGAGCGGGTTTTTAGAGACTTCCATTACCTTTTACCCGTTCCGAACTCGCTCAACACTCACCATGGTTAACCCTCTTCCTATTCCCTTCTTCAGATCTAATTTCTATGTACTCTTTTGCTGTTTTCTTGTTGGGTTTTTGATTTTTTGGAGAAAAAATTGTGTTTTTGACTTTGGGTTTTTTGTGTTAGATGGATCGGTATCAGAGGGTAGAGAAACCGAGGCCAGAGCCGTCGATCAACGAGAATGAGATTGGTATAACCACTCAGGGGAGGATGAGGAACTAAATTATTTATGCTATCACTCTGTTTCAGGTCTCTCTCTCTCTCTCTCTTTCAATGAAAAATTAGGGCTTTGATTGAGCAAATCAAAAATTACAATTGTGTTTTAGGTTGTGAATTTTTATTTATTTATTTATTTATTTTCTTGAATGTGAGTTGGGGAAAATGTTTGAATCTGCATTAAAAAAATTAAAACCTGAATGTGAAATTAGGTTTTTGGTGAAGGAAAATATTTTTTTTGAATTTTTCCATCTTGTTATTGCTTTTCTCTGCATCCAAATTGAAGGGTTATGGTTGTTTTGATGTTTGATAATTGTTTTGGGTCCATCTTCTTCTTTTTCTTCTTCTTTTTTTTTTTTTGTTTTTAATGAAACAATGGAAAGCTTGAAATTGGTAAGTTTTTGAGGTAGATCTGTTGATTGTTTTGTTTTTTCCCATCTTCTGCTTATCCATCCAATTTCTTGACATAAACAATAGTTTGTCCTACTTGAAGTCTGAATTACGAAAATTAAAGGCCTGCCTTAGACATTTTTAAAAAATTTATTACTGTCTTGAATTAAGATCAGTATTTCTGGTGTGAATGCCCTCTCACTTAATGTAGAAACTCAAGTTGGTTTGATTATGTTAATTTCCAATTGGCTTTGTTTTTCTCAATATGGAAGGAAGATATTAAAGTTCATCACATTTTTGTGCCCTGTTGACCATTCTCTATATTCAATTTCTTCCTTATCATTTTCTTATGTTAAAGTATGTGAATTACTACATGGGTTAACCTTTACCTGTTCTATGCTTAATGACCTGGCATGGCTTACAATCTGGATGAAATCGTATTTATCTAAATCAATGATTATCTTATCAACATTTATCTTTATTTTCTTCCAAATAATGATTGGTCTGCTTTCTTTTCAATAGAATCTCATTCACTTTGATCTTTTGTTTTTCAATCTCACTATTTTCAATTTTTTCAATCTATGTTTGTATATTGGTAGAACATAATTTTATGTATTTCTAATGAATATAGATAATTAGACTACGTTATTCCTTTTTGTCTTCAAGGAAGAACATTTGAATCCTTAATTTTTTTTCTTAAAAAAATGCGATGTTGGCTGTAGGCATTCGGCTCAGGATAAGTGGGTTTGTGTTTGCTTCCTTGGAGCTTCGGTTTTGGGCATCGTATTGAGGCCAGACTTTAGCTAGGACAAGTTAGATTCAGTTGATGCTTATTCATTTTACTCCCTGAATTTGATGTGAAAACTTTGTTTATTTTCAATTTCAGCATCCTTTGGATAGTTTACACGACATAGATATTTACTTCATATTCTAATAGTGTCCATTATCATGGCTGGAATTACAGTATTTGGCATGATTTACTATAGAAGGGCATTAATGTTACAGAGTTTCCTGGAAAGAAGATCTCTGGGAGGTATTTTGTTTTGTGAATTCTTATCAATCCTAAGTACTATTTGAAGTGAAGGCATAGATATTCTTTCTCATCTATTTCTTGTATCAACATAGGATGATTATTCTCAAGAAAAAGTCCTAACAACATAAGGTTTTCAGTCTTCCTTTGAAGCACAAGCACAAGCTGACTTAAAGTTCACTTATGTTATTTCTTACCAAATTAACTTTTAATCTTATATGAACTTACTTATTTATTTTTTACCTCAGCGCCTTTGTGTTCACAGACTATAACAGAATTCTTGGTGTGAATTAAAATAGTCTTATATTTGATCTTGTAGCTCAAAGGTTTTTAACATTGAAATTTTGAGGCTTACTGGGCTAGTGGCTCCATAGTGTTAGGGGGAATGTGATGTCAATGCCATGCGCTCGGGCTTCTCATCTGAAGTGCCTCTGTCTTGAATATTCTAGTACAGGAAAAATAATTTTTTTTTTTTGTATATAATTCTAGAAACAATATATATATACACAATTCAACAAGCCTTTGTGTCAGTTATTTTGGGTCTGCTACTTGCATTTATTTTCTTCAGCTAACTATTAGAAATGAATAAATCAAATTTAATTAAAAAAATATAGCATTATAAATCTAGCATGAATTCACAATTGATGCACACAAAAAAATTGAGAATTAAGGAAACTCTACTGAAACTGGGAAATAAGATAGCAAAGGAGCATGTAAGGGAACTGAAAAGAAATTGGTTATCATGGATTTTGGAGGTGAAGGAAAACTTTCTGTTCACTAAGGGAGGTTGGGAGCTGAAATAATTAACAATCATGGAGGTGGTTTCAGGTTGCTGCCATCCCAGTGGAGCCCTCTCCTTATTGCATCTTTTTTTAAATGTCATCAAGATTTCAGTTTAGCAAATTCATCTAAATCTTGTTTTTCTTTTTTGAAATCTGAAGTTCTGTTTTTTTTTTTTTTCACTCTAAAATTTAAAACAGCTATAGCAGATTATTTAGTTGCCTATTAGACAATTATTCCAAGTCACTCATAGGGCCTTCTCTGTCATAGAACCTTTGAAGTGGTCTGAAAGTTATCACTTTTTGTAACTTACCCTGCTCAAGGTTTATAAAAAAGACCCAAAAGTGTGTCTTTACATTGTAGATGCACTTAAAATGTTTCAAAAATCTTGAAGGCTAGTTTGTGGATAGGACCTCCACTTATTAACATGTGCAATTCATCTTTTATTAACATATGGATATATATATATACAAGTCTCTAGATCTAGTTGCTTTTGTATGTACAACATGTCAATCTCTTTGTGCAGCATTGGCAGGATAACTGATTTGAGATGTCTCTTTTGTTATATGCGTTGTTCTTAGCCAATTCTTGTCGACGTTGAATTGAGTCCAAGCAATCTAGAAATCATCTCCTCAAGTTAGCTTTTTCTCAGCTATTTCCTTCTCTTTTATTTTTTCCTTATTGATTTCAAGCTATCAATCAACTTTGTGCTCTTTGTTTTGTATGCTCTTATTTTTTGTTTTCAGAAAAAAATAGTTTTCTCATAGATAATGTTTCTGATATTGGTAACTGGATTGAATTCTCATTCATGCTTTTGCCTTCTCATTTATAATGTTTCTCATCTCTAGTAAATTGAGTTCAGCAGAATTCTTTGGAGTTAGTTGATTGAATTTATGGTTTGGGATGAAATTCTTGCTTATCTATTTGTGTCTGGACATCGATCAATGAAACAGTGACAATAATTGGGACTACTGATATTGTTAGTTTATGTGAATATGATTTTGGATTTGATCTAGGACCCAATAATAGGTCGAGCAGATGCAGATGTCTCAATATTTTTTGTACAATGTTGATGCATATAAAAATTAAATAGAGTTTTTTTGTTTTTAATCTTTGGATGCGGAAGGTAGGAGCCGGTGGACATGAATTGGGGGATCATTGTGTGGTTTTCTCAAATGGTGATATTAGTGTTTGGTTTTCTTATTTTATTAATAACTAAATAACCCTAAATTTATTGCTTATTATTGTTGTTGCAGTTTTGTTTAGCATTAGGATATGGGTTCATTTCTATTAGTGAAAAAGTACATCGATCCACTATCTCTTTCTTGGAACAGAATTGCTGAGAGTATTTTTTTTTTTAATATACCATTTAGCATATGAAGCATGAGTTTTAATATGCAATAGAAAGTTGAAGTGATGAATATAATCAACGCACCATTATGCATCAGCAATTGAAATTATGGTGCATCTTCACTTTTCCAAGTCCTTGATGCTGAAAATTTTATTTGCTGCCAATCTACCGGATCACTATGTGGTTTTCTCAAATGGTGATATTAGTGTTTGGTTTTCTTATAATTCTTGCTTATCTATCATAGTTGTTGTTGAGATTTTGTTTTCTTGAATAATAAAAGAATTATTTTTTTTTTTATTAACAAAAAAATTGGCTTGACCGAACAAAATGGAACTTTAGTTTTGAAGTTGATCCAGGGCATGATTGTTGCTCACATGTAGGAGTGGATACTAATTATGGTGTGGTTCTTTGCCATTAGTTAATCTTGATAGTTCATTTGGCTTTTGAAGTCGTGCTATTGCAAATTTATATCATTCCTTGGTAGTGTTTAAGAACTTCTTGGTTCTACATCTGCTCATTTTTTAAACATCTGCTCAAAAATTACTACACTCCATGTAATATCCATTTTTATAAAACATGTTTAAAGCATCTTTATAATGAGCATCTGTTTATAAAAATATGTTTAAAATTACATATTTGTTTATACACATCTGTTTATAAAAATATGTTTAATTTTCTCTTGAATTAATAATTTGGATAAATAATAATTGAGATCAAGCAGATGATGGCTAACTGAACTAGGATCTGCTATTGAGATAACATTGATTTCAGACTTCAGTAGTATTTGAAAGCAACCAAACAACCAACATCCCTATTTGTTTCTGCATCCATAAAGAATGATTCATTGCGACAAATTGTTGTTGATACTAAAAGGATGAACCATGCTACTTTTCATAGAAACTTAATGAGGCATTCACCACATGTCAAACACAATCACCTATTAACTTTGCCTCTGCCAACAGAGTGGTAGGTGTAAATTTTAATCCCAGTTCACGTTAGTATGTCCTAAATATTAAAAAAATAATAATAATTGTATGCCATATACATTTAGAGTTTCCCATTTGTTCTGTCTCGAGTAAACTTTGCTCCATTTGTTTTGATGGAAAATATTTTTGTGGAAATTAACATTTTTATGGCCAAGGAAAAACAAACTTACTTGGACGAAAATAATTGGAGTTACCTGCCTAAGGCAAGTTAGAAGCTCTTTTCTGGCTTTCTGTCTGGGAAACTTCAACATGTACTGGCTCATGCATTGCATGGGTAGGCTAGATTAGGCTCAATACTCTGTAGAAGCACTGAGTACTACTATGGCGCTGTTTGGGAACAAATTTTTGGGGTTTTTTGTTTGTTTTTTTTTCACTAAAAGACAAATTGGTTACAAAATCAAAAAAAACAAATAGCTTATTTTTCGAAATTACATCTGTTTATAAAAATATGTTTAAAACAAATAGCTTATTTCTGTTCAAAATTACATCTGTTTATAAAAATATGTTTAAAGCATCTTTATAATGAGCATCTGTTTATAACATCTATTTTTGAGATGATAAGTAATATCTCAAAGCATCTTTATAAAACATACTAGCGTATGCCCGTGTCTAAAGGCACGGTTTAAATAATTTTAAGATTAAAATACAGTTATAATTTATATGTATCATGTTGAAATTTATAAAGTTTGTGTTATTTTTTGATAAAGATACTGAAAAAATATATTGAAATATTTTTCTTCTTAAAGAATTGAGTGTGTCGTTGTATGGATGGTATGCTGTGTTGTTGTGACTTTCTTACTATTGACTGATACAAATGTACCAGGAGTGTTGCCTGTTTAAGTTGCAGTGAATTAATAGTTGGACTGTAAATTATTTTAGCAATTTAATTCAGTCCAACCAAACCATGTTGTCCTTTTCAGATTTCTATGTGCTGAATGCATACTAATATGCAGTGTGATCTATTTCAACCATGAGATTAAACATGCTCATTTATTCAAACCATTCATGAAATTTTCATAAACCCTTATAACTAACATTATTTACACTGTGCCTTCAGGCACGGGCATACGCTAGTATATACACAATTCAACAAGCCTTTGTGTCAGTTATTTAGGGTCTACTACTTGCATTTATTGTTCTTCTCTATTATTCATGTCTCACCAATCCCAGTGAAGTGTGTTCCACAATTCCTAATGCCTTATTCTCCTAATAGGCCCCTATATCATCTTATTTGTCAATCAAGGATAAACTAATTGTTGTGTTATCCTAATAGGTCCCTATATCATCTTATTTGTCAATCAAGGATAAACTAATTGTTGACATCTATTTTAACTACTTAATATGATAGTAGTAATCATAAGTAGTACATTGAATGTTCTCCATTTGAACGCTTCCAATTTGATGACAAGCAAAATTTTATGTACAAGTTTTGTTACTATTTAAAGTTTTTCTTTTACCCATTTATTTTGAAGGTAAAGTAATCTATGCTGTGAAATGGATGATGAGACTGAAGAACTAATGAGGAATGATAAGTCAAATGTCATAAGAACTTGAACTCATCTTCCTACAATTCCTAGTAAATTTTCTAGAGTCCGTGGTCCTTGAAAAGCTTGAGTGGGAGGCACTTTGTTTACTTTTAGATGTGCCTAGTGGGATTAATTCCATTCTCGGTAATCAATTGAATACCTTTGCCTGATGGTGACAGCTTTTTCAACTAATTTTTCAGGAAAGAGGAAGTGGGGATATATTGGAAGAAATGAAGAAAACCTTTGTCTTTTGAGCAATCAGTATTGTGATAATGGCAAAGGTCTATTTTCTTTTCCTTTTCTTTTTTCTCAATGTACTTCTTGTCCCCCTCCTCTTGTACTTGATCCTCTTTTCTTTCTTTTTTTTCTTTTTTTTCCCCTTTTTAATGAAATTTTCTTTGTTTCCAATCAAAAAACGATCCAAAAAAGAGAAGAAAAAAAGTCTATATTATATAAAGGGATGGGGAAAATGTGGAGAAAAGGGAATAAAATGAAGTTGGCATGTAGTTGCGTTACATCAAGGTATTCAGCTTGCTACATAGTTTAGTTTATGATTTTTGTGAAAGAACTCAACTTCTTTTCAAAGGTTTGTCCATTTTGCATTAATGGCTAGCAGGTGATCACCATGAAAAACATCTATTTCGGCATTAGCAGGTTAATGTCTTTAGGGTTCTAAGTAATTTCTTAGGCATTCTCTAGATGCTTGAACTAATTAATTATTTGCTTTTTGTTTTTCATTAAGCCATTACTCAGAGAAGCATAGTGTTTTCTCTTTTATTTCAGATGAGAGGTGTTTGACGAATTTCCAATTCAGAACAATGACAAATTGAGTATACTTTAGAGACAGTGACTAAGGAAGCTTCAGCGAAATGGAGATAATTCTCTACGAAGGTAAGCTTCATCGGTTAAAAATATATATATATATATATATATATCACTACTAGAAAAATAACTTTTTGCCTCTATTTTTTTACGATTGATTATTTATCGCTTTTGCTTTTTGTTTTTCATTAAGCCATTACTCAGAGAAGCATAGTGTTTTCTCTTTTATTTCATATGAGAGGTGTTTGACGAATTTCCAATTCAGAACAGTGACAAATTGAGTATACTTTAGAGACAGTGACTAAGGAAGCTTCAGCGAAATGGAGATAATTCTCTAGGAAGGTAAGCTTCATCGGTTAAAAATATATATATATATATATATATCACTACTAGAAAAATAACTTTTTGCCTCTATTTTTTTACGACTGACTATTTATCGCTTCACCTTCCAATTCTCACCTCTCTCTCTCTCTCTCTCTCTATATATATATATATATATATAGCATTGCTCTCACATGCTTGCTTGATTTCACCTTCCTTAATTCCATATAATTTAGTGAAACTGCAAGCGTTGCAGCAGTTTGTAGCACAGGGAGCTTGTTTCTAGAATCAGATTCCATATCTGTAGCAGTATCTGTAATAAGGTCAAATATCAACGATGATAAACTATGCATGTTTAAATGTATTGCTCATCTGTTAACATTATTGATCTAACAACTATAAGCAGTGATCTCTATTTATAGAAAAGTATTCATGTTAAACATTAGGTTGGGCATTACATTTTATCTCTCATATATTTTTCATTTTGTGAAATCTTTGTGTGAAATTAATTGATTCTGTTAATTTGTTAAATATTTGATGTTGGGAACTGCCATATGTGTCCTTGTTACAATATCTATAAGGGAACACATTGTTTCCATAGTTGTGTGAAAGAATGACTTAGTTATTTTGCATCAAGGTATGTACTTTAAGAACTTGGTGAAGTTCAGGTGTAAATGGAAGTTGACTGAGTGGATAACTTGTAGCTAATCTTTCGTAACAAATTACTGGTGTGGAAATTATTAAATTGGGGTGTGATTACCATACCCGAGTGACTGACTGCAATAATTATTCACTATGATTCTGATGACAATTTTTAGTTCTTTCATCACTGCCTCTGAATTAATGTGCTATTAATTGGGTGGATAGGGCCAAGTGATGAGTTTGGTGCTATGTTGGTTTAATATTTAGTTTTATTGACTATCAAATAATTTCAAGTTTTGTTTGTCCACCTCACCTTTTCAGATAATCTTGGAGAAGATTGCCCTATCTTTGAAAACCTGTTTCAGTTCTGTAAAATTTATGCTGGTGGAACTATAGGTAAATTATGATCAAATGGTATTGTAATGTAAACTTGAGTGGCATTAAGTTTTCCTTGACTAGGGATTGAAGTTTTTTGGCAGATGCTGAGCGTAGATTGAACAATCGGCTTTGTGACATTGCCATAAATTGGGCTGGTGGACTACATCATGCCAAGAAGTGCGAGGCATCTGGTTTTTGTTACATCAATGACTTGGTTTTGGGGATTTTGGAGCTTCTAAAATATCATCCACGTGTTCTATACATTGGTATAGATGTGTAGCATGGTGATGGTGTTGAAGAAGCATTCTATTTTACAGACAGGTAATGACAACTCTCTCTCTCACACGCACACACATTGCGCGTGAATGTGTTCTAGAAGGGGGAGGGGGTTGAATATGGAAACATAAGTTTTTAGGCGCTATTTCAATCTTTCTTCCTAACTTACCTTTCCTGTCTTGCATTGAGCCTATTTCAACTTTTTATGTGCTTATGTTGAATTTGATATGCAACTTTTTCACTCAGAAGTTAAGTGTTTGGTTGGGTAGAACAATTTGTTTTCTTCGATTTATTTCCCAAACCCAAGCTATGCAAAATTTTAAATTTATTATTTCTTCAATTCAAATTATAGACCAATTATTGCTTGCTGAATCTGTTAACCCACAATCATAAGAGCATCAAGAAAGAAGCCTGTTGAACAATCTCAAACATTACTGCTGGAAACAAGGAACAGATACAGGTAAGCATTTAAATATTTGCAACTGAAATACTCAAAGTTAACTACTAGAAATACTCAATTGACTACTTGAATTTATATCTATTTTTTATACCAACAAGTTGATGATCATGACTTTATTTTATATGAATTTATTATTATTAATTTTTTTAATATGGCTCTGGCCTTCATTGTATGGAAAAAAAAAATTTCTCTAGCCCTTTAGATGTAATTGATAATATATTAATGTTTTCTTTGTCTATTTTCTTTGCAGATTGGTTTTTGATGACGTTTGGAAGTATACTTGCAAATGAAGATCAACTGTTGAATTTTGTTTCGTGAACTGATACTTAGTTGTAGTTGCAAATCAAGATTGAGTGTTGATTTTTTTTTGTGGATTTCACGTTAGTTCATTTTGGGATTTGCTTTGGTGGTTTTTTTGTTGTACTTAATGGTTTATATTATTAAAGTTGTTTGATGGATATATTTTGATTTATAATATAAATTGTTTATTGATTGTTTTTGTGGAGTGATGTATAATAGCTAGTGATTTCTTAGTACAATTAAAAGGCTATTGGGATATGAGCAGGGATATTTGTAAAATAATAATTGAAATTGAAATATAAAATATGGAACAGGTTTAGTGACGAATTTGTTTCGTCATTTGTACTTGTTATTATAACAAAGTGATTATTCGTCATTAATAAACATTTTTTTTGACAAAATTTGTTACAGCGTATATATAGAAGTTTTCATGGATTTTGTTGTTTGGTGACGAAATATATTTCGTCATGTATATAAATATATTTGCGACGAAATATATTTTGTCACCCATGTATGACTTTTGGAGATGAAAAATTTCGTCACCTTTACATCTTACTGTGACGAAATTATTTCCTCATCAATGATCAACATTTGTGACAAATTTATTCGTCAACTAAAATTATAAATATGGTATTGAATAATTATTTGGTGACGAAAATGAGAATTTTTGGCGACAAAATCTTGTTTTATTGGTGACAAAAAATTTCGTCACTGAATTAATTTCATTGGTGACGAAATTATTTTTCGTCATGTTGGTTTTTAGTGACAAACATTCAATGACGAAACTGGTGACGAAAATATTTCGTCACAAATATCTATAGTGACGAAATTAGCTCTTTTGAGACAAAAAAATTTCGTCATTCAAGACCCAACTTGTTGTAGTGGGGTGATACACCGATGTTGGGCCCAGAGATTGTTAGAGAGACGATCGAGAAAGTTTCTCTCATTCGAAAGAGGTAAGAATGGCAACGGGCCGGGGCGGGGCCGGGGATTACACTCCCCGTCCCCGATCCCCAAAGATAAAAACATCCCCGTCCCCGCCCCCGATCCCCGGCGGGGACGCCACCACCTCCCCCAACCCCGCCCCCTAACGGGATCGGGTTTCCCCGACCCCAGAAAATCTCCTAACCCCTCCCCTTTTTTTTTTGATTTTTTTTATAATTTTTGTTCAACACAAGAAGAAAAAAAAATTAAAAAAAATAATCTGTTTTCAGTGTGTTTCAATTCATCATCAACAATCATCAACTTAAAAAATAAAAAATAATCTGAGAAACGAAAAAATATCTGAAAAAATCATAACAGCCACCAACAACATATCTGAAAAAATCATCAACAAACAACAGTCATGGATTCTCTCTCTAAAACGCTATTTTGATTTGGATCTAGATCTTACAGTCGGTGGTAGCGGAGATGACGGAGGAGGCCATGGAGAGGAGGATTGGTGACGGAGGAGGCAATGGAGGATTAGCGGGAGAAGGCCATGGAGGATCGCTGACGGAGGAGGCCATAGAGGATTCGGCAAGAGAGAAGAATGGGAGAGTTGAGAGAGAGAAGAACAAGAGAGTTGAGAGATAACTGAGACAATAAGAGAGTTGAGAGAGAGAAGAACAAGAGAGTTGAGAGATAACTGAGACAATAAGAGAGTTGAGAGAGAGAAGAACAAGAGAGTTGAGACAATGAGAGAGTTGAGAGAGTAGAGAGTCAGAGAGAAAGAGAGAGGTATATAATAATAACCCTAAACACACATACAAACACACGCACATATATATAAAGACGGGATGTTTCGGGGAAGTTTAGGGGCGGGCTGGGGCCGAGGCCAGGGGACCCTATCACCGTCCCCTGCCCGAAAATCATCGGGGATGTATTTTTTAATACCAGCCCCGGCTCTACGGGGAATAATTTTTGGAAAAAACCCTATTTATCGGGATAAGGCGGTCCGGGTCTCCGTTGGGCCGAGTGCATATTGCCTAGAAAGAGGTTAGCTACAACTCAAAGCCATTAGAAGAGTTATGCCGATAAGAGAAGACGACCTCTATCCTTCAAGGTTGGTGACCATGTATTTCTTAAGACTTTGCTGAGACAGGCTTTGATGAGATTTAGAAAGAGTGAAAATTTGTCTCCAAGGTTTATTAGACCTTTTGAGATTTTGGAGCGAATTGGGGAAGTGGCATACTGTTTCGCTTTATTGCCACAACTTTTGGGAGTTCATGACAGATTCCATATATCTATGCTTAGGAAGTATGAACCTGACCCTTCTCATGTACTTGATTTGGTTGACATAGAGGTAGATGAGGATGCCTCATACAAAGAACGACTAATCCAAATATTAGATACCCGAGAACAAGTGTTACGGGGTAAGACTATACCATTAGTGAAGGTGTTATGGAGACACCATGGGGTTAAGGAAACAACGTGGTAACGGGAGGCGAAAGTTTGCTCCAAGTATCCGGATTTATTTGAGAACACTTAAATTGTTTGAAATTGTAAAGTTCTCATAGTGTTTGAAAACAGAAGTATTTGAATTGCTAACTACTTGTTATTACAATTACTGTTGTTTTCAAGCATGGAAATTGTTGTAAGGTTTCCACAACTGTTGTTGAACCACATGCTTGTGATTATTGGTTTGTTTTGGTGTGGTGGCTACGACCAAAGTGGAAAAGAAGAAGAAAAAAAAAACTATGATGTTAGCAATGAAATAGTTGTGATTTTGAAAATCTAGAGATTGTTGTTAAATTCCATGTTATTGGGTATGATTATGATTGTTGAGTAAATTGTAGGATGAATATAATCATTTGTTATACCATCGGGTTGCTTTGTCATTGTTTGGGTTATTGAGGCTTTGGAGTTTCTTTTTTAGTGGTCTCTAAATTTCGGGGATGAAATTTCCTAAGGTGGGGAAGTTGTGATGCCCGGGTACATAACTCACCTCGTTTTCCTTTAATTGTGATTATCTTGCTCTTGTTGGGAGTGTTGAGATTTAATCTGAGGTCTTGTCGACCGTTTGAGTTCATCGTTCTTGAAACTTCCCTCGGATCCTCATCTTTATTTCATTACAGAATGGAGTTCCGTTTGTTTCGGAAATAATGAAATTCGATTAGGGGTGTCTTGAGTTCAACTAGTGCAAGTTCTGGGTGGAAGGCAGGACCGCACGTGTGGGGGCTTTGGCTACACGTGCGAAAGTGAGGTCACCCATGTGAGAGTTGAGGCCACACGTGTGGTGAGGTGAGGTCGTCGATGGTTCGACACTGCTTTAAATGCACGAGCAGAGGGTAGGTGCGAAAAGTGAGCCGCACGAGTAGGGGGAGAATGGCACACGTGTGGAAAGTACGTGCTGCACGTGCGAAAATGGTACCGCACGTGCGAGAACGCGCTGTGTCCGAAAATTTTCTCTTTTTCTTTTCTTGGGTTGAGCACCAACCTCACTTTTCTCTCATCTCTCTATCTCTAAAACACATTTCCCCTCATTCTCTCTACATTACTCTCACCAAATCACATTAATCCTTTGATTTCTCTAAATGCATTAGAGCTTTGACCCTAGTTCCTTTGTTAAAATTGGAGAACTCCTCGAGGGCTACGTTTTATGCGGTGGAGATCGGATTTCAACACCATCAAATTTGCTGGTTTTCTTCTCTCTTCTTCTCCAAAGCTTAAGGTAGAGATTCTCTTCGAGTTATATATATATATATATATATTTGCAAGGTTATGTTGATTTTGGAACTTCCTCTTGTAGTATTGAACTTTGATTTTGGTTCATGAGTTCTTGATGACTTTAAAAGTAGGTTTCTTAATGTTTTCAAAAACTCTTGAGGGTGTGAACTATATTGTTAAAAAGGGATATTGTCTTGGAAAAATCCTTTCAAAAATGAGGAAAAACCTAGTTTTGTAGAAACCCTAGAAATTGGGGATTTATTTTGGGAAAAATTATAAGATGTTATGAAATATTTGGTTGTCTAGTATTATGGTAAATATGTGATTGCGATATTCCTATGATTGTGTATAAAGAGTGTTAGGTTTTATTCTTGGCAATCCTGTTTGACAAAACTCTTTTTAGTTGTAATTTTATTTGATCTTTTTATTTCAGTGAGGCTATGAGTTTTTAGATGTGAATCCAACCCGAATTGTGCCTTGCAGAGAAGTTTGTGATGTTAATTCTTTCATGTTTGCCACTTCACTAACTATGTCCAGGGTAGCGCCCAGGCGTGGTCGAGGGGCAGCGCCCCCAAAGCCAGAAGCAATATCTTCGGGATCATGGAGATTGCGGTTCTGTTTTTTTTATTTATTTATAAATATGTGGTTTTATTAGATTTTAAGGTTACAACTTCCAGATCTTGTTCTTGGGTATTAGGGTTTTTCCCTGGAGCTTTTTTTCTTATTTCCTTTGATATTTATGAGAGTTTAATCATGAATTGGGTGGATTACATCAAAGGGTTTGTTTATTTTGTTTTATTCAAAAAGAGAGAGTTGTTCTTCGGTAGATTCCATAGAACTTGAGCTTAAAGCTTTGGTGGATTCCAGAGTGGCTTATCGTCGTGGATTCAACATCAGTGTTGTGGATTCAACGTTGGGTAAGACGATTCAGAGGAGAAGACCGTGATGGAAGAGGCATATAGGGTTCGGTTCAATTCAGACGTGGATTCGCTAGGTAATTGAGAGTACACTTGTGTAATTCCTTTTGTCTTCTTAGTGAATTATTTTGTGGCATTTGCCTGTGATTTTTTTTATCACAATTGGAGGCGCTTCAATTGTGGTTTTTTCATGTTAAAATCGTTGTGTCGATTTGTCTTGATTGTTTGATTGGGATTGTTATTTACCGCTTAAAATTGATACATAATCACAAATCAATATCTCTGGGATTTCTAGATTTTTCAAAGACGAAATTCCATGGAAAGAAAATGAGAATTGGTTAAATTGAAGCTTGTTGTATAGCTTATTATTGGTTGCTCTTGAAATGACCAAGTGGAAGAGAATACATGAAAGTTAAAGTTGTTATGTCATCCTTTAGAATTATGTTATGATGATTAATGTATGAAAAATGCTTGAAGGTTAATGTTATATTATTTTGTCTCTTGTAATGTATTATGGTATTGCATTGATAAGAGATGTGGAATTTGACAACAATGGACGATTGTGTGGATAAATTGAAAAATTGGCATTGATACGGAAGTATATAGAATTGGCATTATTGAGATTTTTAAATGGAACCTTGTTATTGCATTGGGCATTGCATTGTCACTCTATTTTGTCATTGATACAATTGATTTCGAATATTGCATTGGAAAAATATATTGTTTTGAGGAAGGTAATTGTTTTGTGAAACAAGCTCATATTGAGTGGTTTTTGGGATAAATACGTTGGTAAGTCCGCATAGGGGTGTAGTTAGTATTGGTTAAGTTGGCCTAAGTGTCCATGGTGAAAGACCGAAAACACGCGCGGATAAGGTATCACGTGCCTTCCAGTTAGCTGCCGGTAAAGTGGGGATTTGGTAATGCTTGTTATGCCTACATGTAGACACCAACCTAGGGATTACTTGAGTCGTATTTACTGCCCCGTTGAACTACATTGAAATTATTGAATTATTAAATTTTCAAGATTACATTGTGCACAAAAGTTTCAAAAGATAAAGATACTTATTTTTGAACATGGTTTGGCATATGCATTAATCCTATGAGATTGTATATAATGTATATAGTTTGTTAAGATTTTCCTACTGGGCTTTGTGCTCACCCCTATAGGATTTTGTGCAGGAAAGGATGGGGTGATCCCGCCAAGTTAGAGGTATGGAGATATGTTTTGAGAGCATAAGGCTCTTTCCTTTTGTTGTAATTATTTTTGACAAGCCAAGGGCTTTATGTGTATGGGTTTGAAACCACTTTTGTGTAACCGAGCTTAAGCCTTGGCATTTGTAGCCCTTGAGGGCATTAATTTGTACTAAACTTCGTTGTTACATGCAATGGATTCATATTCTAGGAATGCTAAATATATAACCGCATGTGGGACATTCTTTTGTAAATCTTTTGATGGTTCTTAAATTACAAATGTTGGAGATTTGATGATGATGTTAATATTGTGATTGACTTACGTTTACATTAAACAATGGTAGTTGGTGAATATTTATTGTGTAAATTTTCGGGGAGTGACAGCACCTCTGATTCTCAACGCTACCAAGTTCTCCAGACGCTAGCTGCTAGGTACTGGCACATCTGATTCTCAGCGCTTATGCATTTCCAACCATCACATAATTCAACAAACATAAATAATCTGAGTGTACTACATACACATAATCGATTCAACATCACAATGTCATCCTCCACCGATGGCCAAGTGTAACATGCCCGGGGGGTACCCACGTGCGTTAAACAGTTCGGACTCCCTAGATCTCTTTGATCTAGTCTCACGAGTGCAATGGTAAATATAGATGAGAGTCCAGGTTTGGCAACTTTATAGAAAATTCATTTTATTACAAAACATTTTGCCATAAATGGACTACGTCATCAGATCTCAAAGTTACCACCTAATATTTTGGGAAATTAGGAAACCCATGACTCATGCCAAGGCCACTGTTCGTCGTAACCAAAGATGCTTGCCTCGGAACCTTAGATATGAGAGGGGAAGATCAATAATGAGCACCCCCGCTCACCCGATCAAAGATCGACCTCTACTAAACCATGATATGACTTTTATTTTCTTTATATGTTCATGTTTTGATTATTTAATAAATCCTAAAAAAATTACTATGTGAAGCATACAAGTATAGACTAATTTTCTCAAATTGGAACAATTCAATTTTATGTTTGTTTGTCGAAAAGGGTTTGAATTTTCCACTTGACAAAATGGGCTTAAAGTTTGTGAATTTGCCACTACAAAGTGGGCTTAAAACGTACATTCTTTAAATCATTCCAATTCACGCAACAAGCCTTCATCCACAGGCATTCAAACAGTTTATCAGATAAGCAAATACCCTCACGGTAGAATGTCAAACATAGTAAGAAAAACACACACAAACGGGATGCTAAAGCATAAAAACTTACATGTTTGACGTCCCGCGAACAAGCTACAAAACAAAGTTAGTAAAACATGCATGATCTTATATACAAAATCCTAATGCAATTCACTCATGAGATGCAACTAAAGATTCGGCTTCTAAGATATGACATGTGAATCGTCTCAAGAGCATTAGGTAGCGCACATAATCACATAGGAATTGATTAAATCCACAAATGCAAACTTAGTCGAATCAAGATGTATGAAACATGGATGCAAAGCATGGATATAACGAAAAACAAAATATGATGCATATTCACAAATAAAGAAGACGAGTAAAAGAACGAGACAGAAATAAGCGGGGCGAGGAATTATTACAACACTTGAAAGAATAATTATAAACCAAATTAGAGAGGGATGAGGAGAATATTACAACAA